GATTCCTTTACCACTCTATAAATGGTAGGGTGAATTCTGGTCGAGGGCAAATAGACTTTTTTTTAGTTTTGCTTCATAATAAGCAGTCACTGAAGATGCTGATGCTGCTGATCGGCATAGAAGAACTTCTTCTCAATCAAGCAAGCATTACCACATTAGTCACCTATTTCTAAGGAGGGCGGACAAAACAAAACTGGCTCGATATGATGGATGAGTTAGAGAATTAGTTGGGTAGTTACTTTGAATTATAAAACGAAGTGGTAAATATTTTTTTTAGTTATACCGATTGATAGTGTTCTTGGCAATGGTACAGAAATAATGTATTACTCCTCTTGAAAGAGTATAAATATAAAATCATATTCTAGAAGAAATTATTATTATTATTTAAAAAAAATTCATTTTGTTGCTCTTGAAGAAACACAAATTCCAATAATTTGAAGGGGGAAAAATGTTTTATCGCTCTTAGAGTGCATTACTCTATTAGTTTTAATTTTATATAAAAATATCATGTTGTACTCCTAAAATAGCACAAATCTTGAAAATATCATATAATTTTTAATCATGTTTAATTATGTTACATTCCTAAAAAAAATAACTATATATGATATAATTAAATATTTTATTAATAATCTAAAAAATATGGTTATATTCCTGAAGAATCATGACCTATGTATACAAATATTTTAAAAGAATATCGAGCAATTTAATCTCGCCTAGTAATTATGCAAAAGCTTTATTTCTAGTTGATCAATAAACAATTTTTTATCTGGGAAAAAAAAATAGGGATGAGGGAAATGCCAATCCTGATCTGACCACAAAGGAATTTTCTTCTCAATCTTTGGTCCCAAATTTATTCTTTGCAAAATATCCTTGACGTTGCATTGGATTGAATATTTGGAATCGAAATATGTTTATACGTGTGAACATGTAAAATGAAGTTTATCTTTATTTATTCTAACATATTTTAATTGATTGTTCGATTGGACTTTGGATCATATTTGCATGGTCAATGGAGTTGTCATAGAAATTGTTTCTGTAAGACTTTTGATAATTCTTAAGGATAGTTCTCTAATGATTTCGTTTGACCACTAGAATTTGAAACATGCCAAGAATTTATTTTTATTGTTTAGGAATTACATATTATCGATGTATCACGATTGTTCATTTTTGTTCAATATTTTGATAGGATTTATTTAATTTTTTTTTTTAAATATTCCAATTAAATTTTGACATGTTATAAAAACTTGCTAATCCTTATTCTATCAGGCTTGGTTTTCCATTAGTCGGAAGATAGAACCAAACATACACTATTATAAAACATTGACTCTTCTAGTAAAACATTGACTCTTCTACACTAGAGGATTCAATGTTTTATAATATAGAGCGATATACTTCACTACTTATAATTGTAAAATCTACTTAAACGATCTAAACATGCCTTAGTCAACAAAATAGCATTTTGATAAATACAGAATAAATTGGATCGAAAACGTACCTCCCGCCATTGACATTCTTCACACACTTTCTCAAGCTTATGGGTAGTGTTTGATTTCGGGTTAAGGCTCTTCTAAGCCCTCTTTCTCACTGCTTAGATGGTGTATACAAACTGAACGTGAAAAATAAGTTTAGGGACCTTCCGAATAGGTCTCAACCCCTTTTATAATTGCTCTGCCCATCAAAGAGCGGTTTTGCCTATCTTCATATTATGGGTGGTTATCAAACGTGATTTTTAAACATTGGGTCAGTTGCTAAAGTAATGGGATATGAGATATGTGGACCTCTCTTATGTTGGTTAATTATACTCCCACTTAGGTCATATATACCATCATTCATCATAATAAGAAACATAATACATGAATCATAGCGATAGGTCCTCTAAAGCAAGTATTATCTTCCATGTATCACAATGCATCATGTCTCTTAAATACCAGCTCATATAACTTAATGAATAACCCTATGTTTATTCAAGGTCCAAACTTAATGATATTTCTCAAGGTAAATGAATATACAAATATGTGTACAAAACGAATGAGAAAACATCAACCGAATAAGAGTTTCATTAAAACATCAAATATCCGTATAATAAAATTACATCACGGAACTGAGTCTCATTCTCACTACATGATCCTTAAAATTGGTGGCATGCCTTTAGTCAAAGGATTAGCAATCATAAACTCAGTGCTAATGTGCTCAATGACCACTTTCTTCTCCTTAGCACGTTCTCTAATGGCTAAGTATTTAATGTCGATGTGTTTACTTCGACTACCACTCTTATTGTTCTTAGCCATAAATATTGCAGCTGAGTTGTCACAGTACAATCTCAATGGCCTAGAAATTGAATCAATTATTCTAAGCCCAGACATGAAATTCTTTAACCATACACCATGTGAGGTAGCCTCAAAACAAGACACGAACTCGGCACGTTCTCTAATGGCTAAGTATTTAATGTCGATGTGTTTACTTCGACTACCACTCTTATTCTTCTTAGCCATAAACACAGCAGCTGAGTTGTCACAGTACAATCTCAATGGCCTAGAAATCGAATCAATTATTCTAAGCCCAGACGTAAAACTCTTCAACTATACACCATGTGAGGTAGCCTCAAAAGAAGACACAAACTTGGCCTCCATAGTGGAAGTATTAGTCAAAGTCTGCTTCACACTCCTCCAAGATACAGCTTCACTAGCAAGCATGAAAATGTAACCATATGTTGATTTTCGTGAATCAACACAGCCAAAAAAGTCTGCATCCAAGTAGCCAACTACTTCCAGATTGTCAATCTATCAGTACATAAGCATGTAATCTTTGGTCCCCTGAAGGTACCTCATCATTTTCTTTTGCAACTCGTCAGTGGTCCACGCCTAGATTACTCTGATATCTCTCTAGCATTCCAACAGCAAATGCAATGTCAATTCTGGTATAGACCTGAGCATACATTAGGCTTCCAATGGCTGAAGCATATGGAATGTTTTTCATTTGTTCCTGCTCGAGCTCATTTTTGGGACATTGAATTAGGCTAAATCTGTCATCCTTCACAATGGATGCTACACTAGGCGAACAGTCCTTCATTCGAAATCTCTCTAAAACTTTATCAATATAGGTCTCTTGAGACAAACCTAAAATGCCTCGAGCTCTTTCCCTATGGATCTTAATTCCAATGATATACGATGTCTCACTCATATCCTTCATATCAAAGTTCTTTGAGAGGAATTGTTTCACCTCATGTAGCAAATCCTTATCGTTAGTTGCAAGTAAAATATCATCCACATATAGAACAAGGAAACAAATCTTACTCCTACTGACCTTCTGGTAAATACAATGATCCATGACGTTCTCTTCAAAACCAAACGAAGTGATGACGTCATGGAATTTCAAATACCGACAAGAAGCTTGTTTCAATCCATATATGTGTTATGATTAACATCAATCATATTGAATTCATAACAAACAAGGGAGAATTGAGTACCTTTTTTGTCGAGCCACTTCATAAACTTGGAGCATTGCTTCTTAAGGTGCCCCTTTTTCTTGCAAAAGAAGCACGTAATCTCCTTCTTAATGTCCTTTTGATTATGGATTTTTCCCTTCCCCTTGTCCTTGGCCTAATGTTTCTTTTTCTTTCCCGGAGTTGTCAAATACACCTTTTCCTTCTCACCTTCCTCCATAAGTAGTCTGCCTTATTCTTGAATACACATGGTCAGCAACTCATTAATAGACCATTTATCTTTATGTGTGTTATAGGAGATCTTAAACGGGACATATTGTTGAGGTAAAGTACAAAGGATAAAGTGAACCAGGAATGATTCAGACATCTCAACTTCCAATGCCTTGAGTTGGGCTGCTATATCTCTCATGCGCATGATATGATCATGCACACCCTTAATACTAGTGAGCTTCAAGGATGAAAACTGCATAATGAGGGTGCTGGCCATCGCTTTATCTGAAGTGACAAATTGTTCGTCAATGGCCTTAAGCAAATCTTGGACTTTGTCATACTGCTCGACGGAGCCCCTAATACCAGTAGATATTTTCATCTTCATGAACATAACGGAGAGGCGATTAGATCGCTCCCACTTTTCATAAAGTTGAACTTCCTCTAGAGTGCTAGTAGCAGTTACTGTAGGGGGCTCCTCCTTCCTTATGGCGTAATCCATGTCCATCCATCCGAAGTGTAGGAGAATTCTCTCAGTCCAGACCTTATAATTATCCCCTTAGCTCGGGAACATCACATTTCATATCAGAGAAATTAACACGTTGACTTGCTGTAATAAATCAAACATCCATGCTCATGTTACAGTATTTGAAGCTAACATAACATACGACATGTTTTACCAATGTAAAATCATGCAAAATATGAATCTAGTGATATAAAACTTGCCTATGGGCTAAAGTTCTAATTCAATTAGATTCATCTTATCGTCACGATAAAATTATCAAATTATGTTCCCTTTTCTAATCCCTGTGGACAAATTAAAAAATATAGTTTGATATTTTATCCTAATTAATCATACAAATATAATAAAATCTCTGTGGGATAAAACTCATTATATTAAATATGATTAACCACAATTAATGTCTTTATTCAATATATGATCCTATTCATTTAATAAATAATTTTGTATAATGAAGGATGATGTGGCTACTCCCCAATTAATTAAAGTTATATGGATCACTCGACATTTAATTTAATTCACAAAAATATGCTCATGTAAATTGCACAAAAACCATAAGCAATATGAACAGAAAAATTAAATTTTAATGTACTAAATTATTTAACTCAATATTGCATGTATAACAAAACAATAAAAATTATACATACAAAACAATAAAATAAGTTTAGTACATAGGAGAACAAAACCACCAAATAATCTTCATTAATTTCTAGCATATGGGTCCACAAAGCGATACAATTTCAAAATTTCGGCTGGTACATGTGTAGATCCAAAATTTTTTTATTAAAGTAATAATAATGTTAAACATTCCATTTCTACATGATCAAGTTGGCAGCCTCTATTCCATTTTATGGAAGTTGGCAGCCTTTATTTTTCATGCAAGTTGGCCCTATTGCTAAAAGCTAATGGTTTTTTGTACTTTATTGATAGACAGGGAAGTTAACGTGTCTCTCTACATGCAAACTGATTTGAAAAGATTTTTTACCTTTTTTTTCAAGGTCGTCTTCAACCTCCTGCCGGGTCGTTTCGACCTAGTTCCAACCCAAATGAAAAACGCGGTCATATCTCATGATTGCGTCCACCAAATTTTGCAAATTTTATATCAAAATTCTCAGAAATCAATTTCTAAAGATTCCTAATCTCAGTTTCTATAAAAAGACTAAACCAAAAACCATGTTTTTCAACAGAGAGTGTGCAGGTTGAGAACAAACAAGACAGAGGCAAAACGAAGGCCCTGATACAAAATGTAAAATCTACTTAGGCGATCTAAACATGCTTTAATCAACAAAATAGCATTTAGATCAATGCGGAATAAATCAGATCGAAAACGTACCTCCTGCCATTGCCGTTCTTCACACACTTTCTCAAGCTTATGGGTAGTGTTTGATTTCGGGTCAAGGCTCTTCTAAGTCCTCTTTCTTGGTGCTTAGATGGTGTATGCAAATTGAACGTGAAAAATTAGCTTAGGGACCTTTCGAATGGATCTCAACCCCTTTTATAATTGCTCTGCCCATCAAAGAGTGGTTTTGCACATCCTCAGATTATGGGTGGTTACTAAACGTGATTTTTAAACATTGGTTCAGTTGCTGAAGAAGTGGAATATGGGATATGTGGACCACTCTTAAGTTAGTTATAATCCAACAATAATAATTTGTTCTTTACTAAACTTTTAAAATATATGTCATGACTGGTATTATATTGGTACTAGCATAACCACATAAAAATTGAGATAAAAGTTCGAGCACTCAATATTTTTATTTATTTGGCATGACTAGTTCAACTATTATTGGATCAATAATGACGTGAATTTGAGAATTCAAATGGTCTTTCGATGAAGAATCGGAACAATGTCTTTCAATGAAGAATCGGAACATTCTTCAATCCAATAACTTCCCATATCATGCTTGTTCTTATATTAGATATTGGTCATTAATCATTGCAAGTTAAAGTTAGGATTAGATCTCTATAATCTTGAAAATAAATTAGATTGATACATGGGATCCCGTCACCCTCCAGGCCATATAGATATTGATGTATCTACTAGATGATTATATGGAATAATTATATATTCACAACATGAAGTTTGGGAGATTACTTGCTCAAAGTTTAAATTATGAGCATAATTTTCAGAAGACAATGTGTCTTGTCAATGATATTGAGTAGACATCCCAATGTTTTAATAAATATTTGTTAACAATGATACTAAATAGTTTAACACATTGACTGTTAAGTACTTTCAATTAATTTCTAAAACATTATTGTTGAGAATAAAGTTCTTCATAATTTTATCTACGGAATGCTATTTTAAATATAGCAAAACTTATAGTATCATATAATATCAAAGTTGTTCCCGCTATACTTGATTTATGATCAAAGCATAATATTTTCAATCTAATGATTTTCAATAAGTACGATGTATGTACAATTATTTCACTATCATTAAAGAATGTTGATAAACATAATTAGTTTGAACCTATAAAAAATCTTAAACCTAAACAGGTCTGGGCTTGTTGATATACAATTTAGCCCCCATGTGGCCTCCATTTTTTGGCTATGAAAATTGGTAGAATGTTGTTTTTTTGAAAAATGAGTGGTTAAAAAAGGAGGAAATATTTTTGATTTATGCGTAATATTATTTTATGGAAGATTGTGTGGTTGAAAATAAAAGAGAGAAAAATGAAACGGAAATTAATGGGGCCAAACGGGGGCTTAATTGAATTGTTTACTCAGCATTGGTGGAGGAATCAGATTTTGGGAATGATAAAAATAATGCATCATTATAATTTCGAGATCATCGTAAAAGATAATTTGACATATAGATGTATTTACTAATCAAAGATTTTTACAATATCTCCCACACCCACGTTAAATGCTCCAATTCAAATTGACATCGCGAAATGACAATTCTTCAACACTTTATTTCATGGCATGCCTGAAGTGTGATTACATTCGATTCTAACACAAAAATCTCCAAAAAAAATAATAATAAAATAAAATAAAAATGGAGAAAATAGTAAAGATGGTTCCGTTATTGAGAATACTCTTGGCGAGTATATAGACATAACAAATTACAAAATTCAAAAAATATTTGGTATCCGAAATAATGAAAATTGAGATATCTTAATTAATAAGTTATGTCATTAAGGTGAAAGAAATGGATGGAAAAGGAAAAAAAATAATATTTTTTCATCGTGTAGCAAGTCATATTATGAAGATAGTCATAATATTGAAGGAAAGTCATCGAAGAATAATAACATAGAAGGACATAATCCTAATAAAATTGAACTTACTAGAAAAAACTAAAGTTTGTAGACCTGTAGTTTGAACACCTATGTATCTTTACTTACGTGAAAATGAAACGAGAAAAATAAAATCTTAACTTGTAATGCACAGCTTTAAACATAATGAATTTCGCAAACACTTATATAAATACATTATTTTGGGGTGATTACATCACAAGTCTATATTTTATTATTTTAAAAATATGTGTAACTTGATATATGTATAATAAATGTGGTTATAACTTGCTCATCTGGCATGATTATTAATATTATCCATAAAATATTTAATATACCTAAAATATATAATTCAAGTGATATGATCGTGAAGAGAGCAAATACTCTTGTACTCTTTTTTCCTTAATGAAGGTTTTATCCGGTTGAATTTTCTTGGCATGATTTTTAATGAGACAATTTTTGTAACATTTTGAAAAATAATGTACTTTTTTTCTCAAGGTTTTTTGTTCATCTTCATCAAAATGAGTGGTTCACTATGGTGGAGATAACTTTTTTCCCCTTTCAAAAAGAATAAAATGCAAAGACCAGGTTCTCGAGGGAAGAAAAAGCTTCATGCCGTTGCTAGATTGGATGATGAAGCTTCGAGTACAACTGCATTTAAGAAAGCCAAGCTTAGTGTATCACTAGAGTAAAGCAAATGCTAGGGAGCAATGCTTGTTACACAACAACCCCTTAGAGGAAGGACAAAATAAGGGAGGCAACGAGTATGAAAAAATGAGGTTTATGCAGGATGTCAATAACTTACATGACATTTTCCTCAGTATAATTTTTTTTTTTCTTTCTTAAAACTAAAATGATTAGGAAACACCTTATATATGTATTGTTCCCATTTGTAAATAAGGGTAGGTCCCTCTTCTTTCCATGAAAAATCCTTAGAAAACTTTTGGCTCGCTTTGTCAAGAGCTGTTACTATAATTTGGAATTTTTGAGAGTGTAAGGGAAGATCTAGCTTAGTTTTTGATGCAGATGAAACGATACAAGTAAATAAACAAATACACTATCAAAGTCTCATTGATTCCAGACGAATACTGCAATACGATCACCTTCTAATTTCTATTTATTTTTAAGAATACCAAAAATTTAGGCACCCAAAACTTTTCGATTTACCTACGAATAGAAAGAATTTGAACACGTTAATTTTAAATATCAAATAATAAAATATTTTAAGAGATTGAAAAAATTCAAACTCTATAATAATTTTTATTTTTCCAAAAACAACAAATTGCCGTAATGGCTTACGACTCTTATTTAAAAAAATAACTAGAATTTAGATAATTACAGAGATTTTGATAATTACTAAAACGAAATGAAAAGACAAAAATTAAAAGCGCTAATATCCATAATTCACCTGAAATAAATGGAATTAAAATTTTAATTTTAATTAATAAATAAATACTAAGAAAAATATAATTAAATCCCAATCTTCATCATTCTCCTCGGATTGATCTAGATTTGTCATATTGCACTGTATTCTTTAACCAATACCCTAATGATGACAGTATTTTACTTGCTCACTATGAACACAATCTTTGTAATTATAAATAGACCTAATGTTTTAAGTTAAATAGTAATTATTGAACCATCATTATATCCCTATAGTCCCTATAATTATAATAATTATTCTCTCGCCCTTAATTTTTTTAATATAAATATAGGAATTTAATTCTCAATAAAACACACACATAAAAAAGATAAGAAAATATAGAATTAATTGAGTTCATAAGGAAAACCTTCTTTTCACTTGAAGAAAATGTAAGTATTCTCTTAACTTTAAATTATATAACAAAGTGCTAAATATTTTTTACTTATACCAATTATAGACTTCTTGGCAATTTTACATAAGATTGTATTATTAATCTTGAGAAAGTATAAATTTAAAACAAATATTCTAGAAGAATAATTATTATTATTATTTTCAGAAAAAACAAAATTATTTCATTGCTTTTAAAAGAAACACAAATTCAGATAATTTGAAAAAATAAATAAATAAAATAAAAAATAAAAACCTGTGTTATTGCTCTTAAAGAGCTTTACTTTATGAGTTTTTATATTTTAAAAAATATCATGCCGTACTCCCAAAATAGCACAAATCTCGAAAATATCATATAATTTATAATCATGTTTACTTATGTTATAACCCAGAAGAAGCATAACTAAATATGATATAATTAAATACCGTATTAATAATAAAAAATATATATAGTTATATTCTTGAAGAATGACGACCTATGTATCAAATATTTTAGAAGAATATTGCACAATCTAATCTTGCCTAATAATTATGCAAAAGCTTTATTTTCTAGTTGAGAAATAAACAACTCTTTTTTTTCTTTTTTCTTTTTTGTGTGTGATAGAAAAATACTGATGAGGAAAATGGCAATCCTAATCTAACGACAGAGGAATTTTCTTCTCGATCTTCGGTGCCAAATTTATTCTTTGAGAAATATCCATGACATTGCATTGGATTGAATATTTGGTATCGATGCATTATATGCATAACATGTTAACGTATAAAATGAAGTTTATCTTTTTTATGGGTTAAACAATACAATACCACTATATCTATTGGTCAAATTGTCGAGAACTCCACACCTTTTAAAAATAGCTCAAAACATCTTGGAAATTTTTTTGCACAGATTGCCCCCTACCGTCAACCTCCATCCATTCTCCTGATTTCATGAAATTGTTGCGTTGATTTCCACATGTACATGAACCTAAATTCATTTATCAATAAAAATATTAGCTAGAATCATATTTTTAATTGAATCAACATTAAATATTAAGAAAAATTTAACAGAATAATTTGTCTTCGTATATAATTTCGGGAAAATCAATTTTCTAATTCGAAAAGCAAAAAGGAGGCTGTGCTTACCGATGACAAAGTTCAAAAAGTTGCGACACGAGGTCAGAGTCTCCTAGATCAGTGATAGCAAAGGAGGGAGTAGACATAGCCTGAGATTTAAAAAAAAATAGGGATTGCAACCTCTGTATCGATGCCTTCGTTTCGTTCAACTTAGCTTCCACATTCCCCTTGTGCTCCTGACCAGAAGTACTGAGGTTTGGACTCTAGAAGGATTTGGTGTTCCTCATATTTCACTATCGGTTCTCTGTAAAATATTTGTTTGGTCGAAGACTTCCAAATATGTTGTAAGTTAAATCGATATTGCCAAATAACCGACCTGCATTATACAGGGATGGTATAGTTTCAAGAATTCATTGATCCATAATAAAGTGGTCAGGGAATTGAAAAGTAAGTATGCACACTTTCATACAGAATGGAAGCCGTGAAGCTGAAAATCAATTAGCTGACCATGTCTAGCAGGTAGGATGTCCATAACCTCCATGACATTTTCCTTCAATATAAATTTTTTATTTTACTCTCACGTGTTATAAATTGTATGTGATACGCCCGTAGAGTTCAACAATAACGCTTATTTTTCAACATTCTATCATATTGAATAAAGATTTAAAAAAAAAAAAAAAATAAAAAAGGGATATATGAATATGTTGTATGAAGACAATGAGTCTCGGAAGATTGGTGATATAGATGTTCAATAATCATAAAAAGCCTTCTCTACGTCTACATGAAAGAAATTGGAATATGAGATGGGAATACTCAACTTGAACATCTTCAGCCATCAACATTAGAGAGAGTATTTGTACTCTTTTTTCTCTACTCAGATTTTATCTTGTTTATTTTTTAGCAAGATTTTAATAAAGTAACATTTATTTTTGTAGTCCAAAAAATAACCGCTCTTTTTTTCTTCGTTTTATATTTATCAAGAAATGTCTCTAACGAAATGGATATTGTATAATTAGTCATTCAAGGGGAGTGTAATTATATATTAAATATAAAGGTTTTGATTATCAATAAAGTACACATATATCTATTGATTTTTTTATTTTTCTTTTCTTTTCTCTCTAGTTTACAACACTAAGCCCTTGCTTAAGCCTCATTTGTTTTGGCTAAAATGCATTTTAGAATAGTGTTTTGTTGGATAATGTGTGATTAAAAAGTGAGGAAAATTTTTCAATTTGTGTGTAAATTTAATTTATTGGAGAATATGTGGTTGAAAATAAATTTTGAAAAAAAATAATTTTTTTGAAAAATGAGGGCCAAACATAGGCTAAATTGAAGTTAATTACTCCCCAAGAGAAGTTGCATAGAATTGATTCTTGTTGATCTTGAGGCGAAATATGGATTTGTACTCTATATATTATCTACTGGATTCTTGTCACCGATGCATAAATTATTTTCTTGAAAACTGTGGAATACAGATACTTGAGTTTGAGAAGCCCATTGCAATTAATGCATTGTTTTTAAATTAATATGTTGACAATTTGTTATGGAAGTTTTCAAATGATGGTTATGAACATAACATGATGCTGATAGGCAATAATATTTCTTTTATTTCTTTCCTAATAAGATAGCACAACAACATCATTATTTTGACAGAAGAGTGTAAAATACCCAAGAAACATGATCGGGTTAATTCCAGTGAAGAACAAGTTCAACAAAACAATACAATGCCAATGAGAATGGATAGAGAAAAAATGCTAACAAGCAAGTCCAAAAAGGATATTCAGTACGTGAGACTCCCAAAATCCCTACTATAGCACAGATAACCAAAATAGTTAGCACTTCTGCTGAATAATCCCATGGCAAGTCCTTCGCGTATACAACTGCTAACAATGTTGTCAAACCCGAGATGTTGTTCATTACGACCCTACTATAAATCTGCAAGTCAAATGAAAATGGTTTCACCAATGAGTACTTCAAAATTCTTTGTTAATGCTCTACTATTGTGTATACGTGTGCGCATGCTTGAGTGCTTGCTTTTTTGTGTGTGTGAGGGAGGGAGGGAGGGACCTCGGAGAATGTTAAAGATGCAGTTTTTTCAGTCTTTTTACTGGCCGGAAAGATAGCTTCTATTAAGGTTCTTGCATTCATGGCCAATGGCACTATGACAAATGAGATGGAGAAAGAAGGCACGCCCATGGCATATGATAACTGTAGGATACTTGTCGTGAGAGGTCCTCCAATGAAGGTCAATATAACAATACCCAACACTATTCTAAATACACATGTTACAATATTCCAGTAAGAGTGTCCATAGACAAATTTATCCCATACAATCTGCAAGTTAAGGGAGGAGAAAAGAAAAATGGATTAGTTAATTTCCAATGAAATCAGTAATTTGTACAAAACGTAACAAAAAGCTTTTGTAAAAAGTTAAAACAATTTCCTTCTCACCTTGTCAAATTTATCCACACTTTTAGTTTTATCGGAGCATTTAGCAACACGATTGGCTTTAGCAAGCCAATTTCGCAATCCGTTGACAAATTCTTCTTTTTCAATCATATTACTACCGTCTTTATCGAAATTGAAAAATATTTTGTTTACCACATCCTCAGATTTTGGGTGCAAATTTTCGAATTGGACTGTATTGATTATTTGCTCTAATTCATTTCTTGATATCTTCTTGTTATTGTCATTGTCATACTTTCTGAAGAGGCTGCCAGAATAAAAAGAAGATTGTAAGGAATTTTTGTCAAACTGAAAAACAAACAGGTAAATTGTGATAAATTACGTGTTAATTCTCTCAAAGTTTGGTTTCCCATCCTCCCGGATAAGCGATCCTTCTAGTAGTTGGCTTTCAGCGTGCTTTAGAATTTTCGACATTATTGGATCAATTTCCAATTTCTCTTTCTCCATCCGACTAAACTGTTGAAAGCTCTGCAGCAGATCAACCAAATAAAGAATATATTTATCATTAATTTCAAAAACTACTATGATGCCTATTAGAAAAAGAAGTTACAAAAATGTGATAGGAATTTGAATACATTTATAGAACCAACATCTTGCAGATAAAACTTCTACAAGATACTTCCATTAGTATCAATATTTTTAAAATTTGAGTAAATTAGGAAGCTTGCCTCGTCTTGAAGTTCTGTTGAAAAGAAATCACCTTTTTCAGCTAACATTACACATGCCCTGGTGAATTCAGTTTGGTTGATTTTACGATCATTGTCGGCATCAAATGATTCCATTGATTTATCAACAGCATTATTTATGGCCACTTCGGACATTCCTGGCATGATTTTATTAAACAACTTTTGCATTTCAGGCCCTGTTATATATCCATCTCCATCTTTATCAGTTTCACAAAATAGACTACAAAGACAAAGTACACAATGAGATCCTTCATCGGACATGATTAGAAAATATACCATGCAATATTTCAAAAATTACATTTTGATGAGAGCAAAGTTAGGATTCCCATCATCCTCATCAACAAGTTTTCCCCACCGTTCCACATGCTTCAAAAATGCTTCTCTTAGAATCTCATATTGCATGTAATCTGAACTTAATTTCTGCATCCACTCATCCAGAGTCTGAAAAAGAAAAGAAAATTAGCAATATTGTACGTTAAATCGCTAGTGATGCAGGGTTAGCTTACTTCCATAATACCTCATAGATGAAATATAGAAGTAAAGATGCGGCAGACACTATGAACGGTATCAAAAGAAATATGTGGGATGTGTTGAAGATATCAACTAGTTGCACAATAATGTAAGGAATCAAAGAAAGAAGCATAATCCCAGCTACATTACGGGTTTCATTTCGAAGTTTAACACTGGTATCTGCAGTTAAGAAAGAATTGTCAGTTCTTATATATTCAATTGCAAAATTCAACTAATTCATGTGAAAGAGGAAAACCTTTTAATTCATTGAATTTTTCTTTGACTTGCAAGCAACATGAAATTTGAGATTCTGAATGCTCAGACGTCTTTGATTTATCTGGCGATTTTTTTGCGCCAAAAATCAGACATATACCCCACTGCAGCGTGAGAGTAAAGACAGTGATTCCAGCATAGATACCCACTCCAAGTGACACCAGAGATCGAGCGGTCTCTTTGCTACCGAAAACTCCAGATACTACAAACAACGATTGTTTCCTTTAGCATTTTGTGTTGCTTAAGGTTTCGAATTTTGTTAATAAGTAAAAAAACAAGTATAGAACTTATGCGAAAGATTCTCGGAAAGTTTTATTTCCGAAATGTTTTCAAATCTATGCAACATAATCAAATGCAAGAGTCAAACACTAAAAGGATCAATTATAACTTACAAATCATCATCATCATTGCGGGTAACCCCATGAGGATTCGGAAAATGATACTAACAAATTTGCTTGTGCCAAAATAATTTTCTAGGATTTTAAAGAAACCCTTGCTCCCGGTGCCCAGCTGCATTTCTCCAAATATTAGTAGACCTTGATAGACCAGTATTTGGTAAATATATCCTCCAGTATTTTCTGCACATGGTAGGAAGCCATATGTGTGATGGCAAGTGCTTGAGGACAGAAGAACATCGTTTGCAGTAAGAGCTACAGATTGATCATCAACACCCTTAATTCCATCCGAGATTAAATCATCAGAGGAGTTGAAACTTAGAATTCGGCCATGAACGGAGCTGATAAAAGATATAAGTACCATAGTGCTTAAACTAGCAATGGTCGGAGTGAAAATTTGTGTACTGTACCGTAGACTATGAATGCGCGTAGCCATATTTTTTGGAGAATCAATTATGCAGTAAAGTGTGTGATTCCCTCGCGCTGTGAAGGAAAATGGAAGCTATTGATCACCTTTTATACAAGTGAAAGGGTTGAGCTTGAGAGAGAAATCTTCTATTTTTAAAATGAAAATTGCACTACTAGTCCTCCAACTTATTAGTGTAAATAAGTTTGTCAAGAATAGTAACACACTGGTCCCTAGTCTTTCAAGTTTATAACATAGATGGCCCATAAGAAGCTATTTCATCCAGTTGACACTTAATTTTGTAGGAAATGCACTCTACATGCCATCATTTGTAATTAATTGAAATTAAACAAAGAAAATGATAATATCACACCTCCCCTCACACATGTCGTCTGCTCTCAACCATTGAGTGTTATCGCCTTCGCTACTTGACATGTGATTAATGTGTATCATAGATAATGGAAAGATACATCATCTAAATCAATTCTGATAGATTTTTTTCTACTTAATCCAAATTTATATATTTAAATACTCATATCATATGCTAAAAAGAATAGTTCTATCTAAATTAAAGATATACAAAAAAAGAGTTATTCACAAGGGAATCGATGCAGCACTTGTATGGTTCGCCTTCTTGTCATTTACCAATGTAAAAATGTCGAGTGTCCCTTGACAGTGTTTTCGCTGTGAACATACTACGACTCAAATTAAGGGCATTTATATAATTCTTTTATAAAAATATCAACCGTTAATGATGTCTATTTACTTTCATTATTGAGGGAATATCATTACATGACATCATACAAGTGAGTTATTATTTTAATTTGTTCTCTAATTTTTTGCAAGTTACAAATTTTACATTTAATCTTTGATGGTTCTTGATTAGCAAAGCGCGAGACAATTGTCCAAACATTCGAATTTGATGTTTTTAGATGGATAGATTCATCTCTTGTTTATTTTTGTTAAAAATCATATTTTTAGTATGTGTGGGATTAAAATTAATTGTTAATTTTGATTTAAGTTTCATCAACTTTTTTAGTTAATGTGCTTAAATTTCTAGAAATTTTGAGTTCTATTCATGTCACTTCAAAATTAAAAAGGAAACAATACTCTAAGACGAATATACAATCGAATCTCTTTTTGTAATTCTATATTCAAAAGCCAACTTATTATAAAGGAATACACTAAATCCTTATGTTTATTTTTATCTGCATGCAGACACGAATTGACAAAATACAAAAAATAAGAAGGTTAGAGATCATGTTAAATTAATCGCACTAGAAGTAGAAATTTCAGGAAATCCTCCTTAAATTTCAATATCTCATTGTTACGCGTGACCGTGATGAATCATTTTTCTCTTTTATTTTATCTGTAATATTTCATTAGGTGTCTGAAATGTTCTAGTATGATTATATTAGGAAAGTAAAATTATTTGTTGTATATTCACATCATCATTAGTTTTCACAATAAAATAATTTCATCTTAAGCCATATTCATGTACAGTTATTTATGATAGATTCAATACCCTGAAGTAGACGGGATTGAAGCAACAAATTTAACAAATTTCAATGCTTAAAATGTAACATCACCCCGTTTTCTAGTTCAAAAAATTAGAATAACTCTTGTTTATATTAAGCGAGTTTACAAAACCCATTACGTAATTAAATTGCAAATTGGGTTCTTTTTCCCACTCTAAAAATATGGCATATTGACATTATCCTAAATTGAAATATGATCTACTTACAAGTGATCGTACATTTAATAAGAATACCATTCATCAACAAAAAACACACGGGATAATTCAACTAATTACGTCATGACTTGCGTCCAAAAATAATTATGGATTAGAGTCCTTAAATTTCAACATTTCACAATAATGTTTGTTGAAAATTACAAAAGATTTTGAACAAGAAGAAATTATTTCTTGAAAATTGACCTGTTTGATTTGATCTTTCCCTAACAAGAAAAAGTGATGGTTGGTTAGCATTGAATATTCTTGCTGATGTTGAGGTAAAAAAATTATTTGGAATACAGTGCAATGCAGAGACTTTAAAGTTTGAGAAGCCAGTTTCAAACAGTGCTTTGATTTTTAATTAGGTTAACTAATTCATGAATGTCAATTTAGCACTTTTGTTATGAACTCAGTTTGATATTTATGAACATATTAGTCATTCAGTCTATTTGGCAACACAATGATATTGTATGTCCAACAATAAAATATAAAGATACGCGATTTATTTTATTGGACATTATTTAATGACAGCTAAACATGATGATGAAATTTGGATCGAAATATCTCTACGATAGTTAATAATTTAAGGGTATTTTTGTAATTTTCTTATGATAGCAAGTATATCGAGAATTTACAATTCACAAAAAGGTGAGATGACTGTTTTCTGTCCAAATATGTAGTTAATGTCCTTCAAAACGAATAACAATTATTTTTTTCAAACTTTCTTTTTTAAAAAAAAAAATTAGAATGACCAATAAGTCTTTTCATGTTATGACAAGAAAAAGGGAGAATATAAGAGTCAAAACTCAATTATGTATTTTATTTAAAATAAGACCAGTATATATAGGATTTAAAATAAGAGTTACAATTGGAATGAAATAGACTCTCCAAACTAAATAAGATTTATCTATATATCATGATAATATTAAATAATTATCAATAATTATCTCATTATTTTACAACACTCACCCTTTGATGATTATTTTTACAATAACTATTTTATTAAAAACCTTGTTTGATAAAAACCAAGTGGGAAAAAATTAAAGAGAGAAAAAAAAAGTGTAATTAATTGCTAATATTTCGGAGTATAAATAAAATATTATCTCATTAAAACATTGTTAGGAAAATCTAGTGTGACAAAATCTAAACTAAGGAAAAAGAGTACAGCTACTCCCCCTAATGAAAATTACTAAAAATCTTTATGTCAACACATTCCAATCTTGTGAAGCAATTTCTTAAATATGGATGTTGGCATTGCTTTTATGAATAAGTCAGCCACATTATGACTTGAACAAATTTGTTAACTATTGATGTCATCATTTTTCTTAATCTCAAGTATATGAAAAAATTTTGGAGAAATATGCTTTGTTTTATCACTTTTAATATAGCCTCTTTTAAGTTATGCAATATAAGTTGCATTGTCTTCATACAAAATTATTAGACTATCTTTTGTTAAAGTTAATTCGCATGATGCTTAGATATAATAAGTCATGTTCCTCAACATGTTCATGGATTGTAATAATTTCAGAATAATTTGAAGATATTGTTGTCAATGATTACTTCACATATCTCCATGATATAGCAGTTCCTTTACGTGTAAACACATATCTTGTTTGTGATTTAGCTTTATATCAGTAAGAGAGATAACATGTATCTGCATATCCCACTAAAGCAGATCCTGACTTTTGAGAAAAAAAAATAATCTTAAATCAATAGTACATTTCAGGTGATAAAAGATGTATTTAACACCATTACGATGTCTTTAAGTTGGTATAAAGTTATATCTTGTAAGGAAGTTTACAAAAAAAACTATGTTTGATTGAGTACAATTTGCAAGATAGGCTAATACTCCAATTGCACTAAGATATGATACTTTAGAACCAAAAATTTTTTCTACATCTTCAAGTGGATGAAATGAATCTATTTTCATATCAAGTGATTGAATAATCATAGGTGATGCCAATGGATATGCACTATCCATATAAAAATGTTTTAAATTTTTTTTTCTATATATGTAAATTGATGAATAATTAATCCTTCTGAAAAATGTTCAATCTGCAATTTAAGACAAAATTTGTTTTTTCTCATATCTTTCATCTCGAATTCATTTTTTAAATATTCAGCAGTTTTGTTGAGCTCTTTAAGAGTTCCGATCGAATTTAAATCGTTAGAATAAATTGTCACAATTGTAAATCTAATATTTGTTTTCTTTATGAAAACATATGGGCAGAAGTCGTCATTTTTATAACTCTCATTCAACAAATATTAGTTAAAATAATTATATCACATGCGTCCAAATTGTTTCAATCTATGTAGTGATTTTTATAATTTAATTGAGAACATAGTTTTCAGGCATGTATCGTTTGTTCCTAATACTTTAAGTCCTTCAGGAACTTTCATATATATATCACTATCAAGTAAGCCATACAAATATGTCAAGCTTTTATGATACAATCAAAATAATTATGAATCTAAAAGTGATGTTGTTCATTACGAGAGAATATGTTTCCTCATAATCAATTCCCGACATTTGTTAGAAACTTTGAGCTATTAGTCGAGCTTTGTATCTTGCAATTTCATTATTTTCGTTTATCTTTCGACATAAACTCATTTGTATCTAACAGGGATTATATTTTTAGGTGTTCGAACAATTAGTCTAAACACTTTTCGTTTCTCCAAATAATTCAATTTCGTCTGTATGACTTCTTTCCATTTTGGTCAATCATTTCTATTTTGACAGTCGTTAGCTGACAGTGGTTCAAAATCCTCATTTACATAATATCAAGAGCCACGTTAAAGACGAAAATATTATCTATAACAACATTATTCCATTCCCATAATTTATGAGATAACATATAATTTATCGAAATCTCATTATTGCCGGACACTTATGGTTCTTCAGGACCTATTCTTCAATATTTGATTGATCAGTCTTTTCTAATGTAACTTCTTCCGAAATTTTTGGTTGGTTTTTCTCTTGTACTTTTCTTTCTGGAAGTACAAAGTTTTTTTAATCAACTGGTTGACTACGCTTTTGGCGTATTTGAGATTCATTTATCACAGCAGATTGTCGTTCAGGGACATTAACTTTTGTTGAAATATTTTATGTTGGTATATTTCACTTTGTCAATATTTTTGTGTCAACAAATACATCAGATAATTGATTTGCAACTTTTTGCAAATGAATTATTTTTTCAACCTCTTATTTACATTGATTGCTGTGAGAATCAA